CCTGCGAGGAAAAATACAGCCTACAACTTGTCTCTTGCGCCCAACATGTACGTAGATATGTGTGTGTTCCTGCAGTTTCAATTTCAGGAACTTGTCAACAAAACTGATTAGTTCAGTAACTAAAATACACTACAAGTCAGTACCTTGAATTTGGTGTAAACTTTGAACATATTACAACAGAAGATGTATCTGTTAAGTTTTGCTGACAGCAAGATATTCTTAAACTACCAGTGAAAATAACTTCCACTCCTCACCCAATGAGCCGTCGCTATGTTGATGAAACACCTCTACTGTCGTTGTGACATTCTCACTTTCAGGAGTGCATGCTCTCATTTTGCCAAACATCACTACGGAGCATGTCTAAATATTTCCCATGCACAGCTTTCTTCATGACGCTCCTTCACTGTCTCAGAAAGCCAATGAGCCAGCTAATGCAGGCTGGGAGTAGAGGGGTGTGTGGTGGTGGTGGTGGTGGTGCTGCTGCTGCTGGGGCAATCCACTTTCCCAGGTAGAGTCAGTGGAGCAGTCAACAGATTCCTCTCCCACATACATTTTTATTTTGATGGCTGTGGATAGCCGTCCCTCTGCCCCTGTCTTGCCTTCTCCCAACTTCACTTCATCATTCCACACGCCCATAAAACGGGTTCATTTCCTCTGCCCCATTTTCCTAAAGGTGAGTTTAGCAATCGGTCTCTCTGCTAGACGCACTCCAAAATTTCCTGGCTATCTGCATTCTGACAGCACATACAGACATAGGCCTGATGGCTCTTACATACTGTTATGACCCAACAAATTTAACTAACAGGTAGCTGATGTCAAAGCGCTGACTTAAGGCGCACCGCCCACTGCTGCAGGAGACTATCGTAAAACATGATGATGGTGCATGGGCATGGTGTTTGTGAATGTCATTAAAGGAGGCTAATGGTGCTGTCTGTTTGAGAGGTGGATCAATACAGTAATGAGGAGACGGAGGCACAGGCGTAATCACCTAAAGCCCAATGGTGCTGAAATCCACAGAATAAAATAGAATCGGGTCCTGGAGGGCAGCAGTTCTGACTGACATATTCAGTAAGACACTCTCTTGCTACATCTCTTCGGTTCTAATGACATGGCCCTAATGTTAGAGGAGGTTCTCAATTTTGCTCTTTCAGTGCTTATTCTCACTACTTCACTGTTTTCTGTTCTCTGTTTAAAACTATCACAGGCTGGAAAATATACCTGATGTGATGTGAGACCTATAAACAGCAGGGGTTCTTGATATTTCACCTCTATTAGCAAGAGGTATCAGAACACCCTAATGAAACTTCCTCCAGCATAAGGCCAGACACAAGCCTGGTAATAGTGATTAATGTGAGAGATTAGTATAAGCGTTTAAGGTATAGTGGAGATGTAACATACACATAACTGGAGCTCATGCCGGGTGGATTTAAATGGAATTTCATTAAAGCTAAAAGAAAGAATGATGACTTTTACAACTCCCACTGGCAGCATTTTTACAGGCAGACATTTCCCACTAATGACTTGAATATGAAATAGTGACCCCATCGCACTAAGCACAGTTTGAGTAAATTGAGCTCACTGGTAAAATAACCTTCACCACAGTGACTGGTAAATCTGTTGTTAGAGCTTCTTACAGCAGTGGGTCTTAAGCTTTTTCAGCCTCAGGAACAGACGAACAACTTTAGTCTCTTGCCCTTGGACCCAAGCTCATTTAAACATATTGGTAATCTGTTTTTTTTTTTTTTTTGATTACTCAACAACAGCAGGCCTGTGACCCAGTTATTGGTTTAGCTTGAGCAGTCTTACAGGTATTGCACAGGTTGAGCTACAATGAGAAATCCTGTATGCATAATTTATTTACACCAACACCGGCCAGTGACAGTGATGACAATCACAGTAAACATACATTCACACAATTATCCATTATGCATAGGGATGGAAATACACGCTATCACTGACCCTGATATGAAATAGGACACATGAGGGGTGTACTGGTTGCAATACAAGCGCAGTGTGAGTGTCGGCACTACCTTCTGTTGACGGTGTGTCTGTGAAAACCATCTGTTTCTGGCCATGACTGGCTGACTGGAGGGAACCAATGGAGTGAGACCTGATTTGGTGTCAAACGGAGTACTTGGATGAGGCAGTGTGTGTAGATTTGGTGTGTGTGTGTGTCTGTGTGTGTTATGTGTGTGTGCGTACATGTATTGGATCCTGTACTACAGCTTATGGTGTTTATGTGCATCCTGGTGAGAGCCTGTGCAAAGAGCCAGGTTTGAGTCACAGTTGCTGGACAGAATGGAAAGACTGGACAGTGAGCAGGTTTTGCACAGTGAAATAAATATCTGCTAAGGTTGTGACTAATCAAAAGGACAGCTGTGATGTGACCTCATATGCATATGCCATACCAGCATTTCACAGGATCATGTTAAAGGGGGGAAAAACAATCAGCAGGTCATAAGCGTAATGTGCCTTTGACGGGAATGACTATGCAGACAATCGTCTTTAAAACCTGTTACTTTTTTACTTATTCCATTGTCTGTATAATTTATTGTAATCACTTTTAATCATGGTGCTTTATTATAATAATTTGAAGTTTACAGTACTTAATTGATTAACCTTTAAGTCCCGTATGTGCATGGCGCAATGGAGGTTGATATATCCAAACAAAATTCCCAGTGAGAGGGAAAATAAAAGTATGAATCATAAAATCAAAAATAATGCACCAAGTACTGATGCCTGATTATATATAAATCATAAAAAACACACAAATCAGTCAAGAACAGTGACAATTTGTAGGTTTTAAATGAGTTTAAACTGTAGACAGCACTATATTAAAGACATTAAACAACTGATAGTGTGTTGCAGTCCAACCTCAAACAGCCAGCTTTTGATCACCCAATAAAATAATTGAATGTGACAGTATATATAGTTAGAAAATACAAAAGACAAAATTAAGAGTGATATTATCGGCTTCTGGCTCACGCGTTGCAAAATGTCACTTACAATAAAGGCTTCTATTGTCAGCAGGCAGTGGGAGGGGAGCGGATATTTAGTCTGAAATGATGAATTGATCTCAGTTAACTTATGGACGCTGGACAACCCAGAGGTTGTCACTTAATGATAAATGGACGTAATACTGAGCAACAGGGACAGCAAGTCAAGGACTTGGGGAAGGAGACTTAATACATGATGGATGATAATCACGCATACTATGTGACATTAATGCAAGCCTGATGGGGCAAGTGTGTGTGTGTGTGTGTGTGTGTGAGAGAGAGAGAGTGAGAGTGAGAGTGAGAAAAATGCTACCGACACACACACACACACACACACACACACACACACACACACACACACACTCACACACATCAACTTTAACACACACTTTCACACACATAGAGTAAAGTTTTTGTTTTGTAAAATTTTCTTGATTTTATGCATTATAACTTTTTTCTTTTTACTTAATTCCTTAATGTTTTGGCAATATTGTGTTTGTTACACTCATGCCAATAAAGTAATTGAATGTCTTCGATATGTATAGAATAAAAGGTGCAATGTGTGAGACCACTTCAGAGGACTGATATGAACTGTACAGATGAAATAAAGTCTCTCCTGGAAGTTGCAGCTCTCCCACTCTTCCTTTTTGCTCATGATGATGAGCTCCATACTGGACACCAATGGTGGTGGTACACTATCAGAAAGATGGACACTTCCAGAGTAGAGCTGTGTGTTTAGATTGGACCGATAAGAATGAATGGTTCACCACTGCTGTCACTCGCTCTTGACTTGGATGTTTTGGCCGGTGTAATCACCTCAGGGTGAACATGACGAGCTTGGAATACTAATTTGTGTCAGTGAGCTTTTTTACTCTGAATAATTTTTCACATTATGTATGTAAGTACTTACTCCTCAACAAAAATCCTTGACATTAGAGTATACAATATTTTCGACAACATCCACACACAAAAGGAAATTTTAATTTGAAATCAGATGATGCTGCAATTATTATGCATTTTAATTAATTTGCATTTCACCTTGTCTAAGGTCTCGAAGATTCATGCCAGACTGCAGGCGTAAGAGTAATGTCACTATACTCATCACTCTTTAGGTTTGTGATTGGAATATCTAAATGTTTTTAAATGAATACCATGGACAACTGTAACGTGTAAATAGGAGAAAACCTTCTCCCTGGACTACGCTAGTATCAAGAGTCAAGAATGAAATGGCCTAATTACCGTGTACAAACAAGGAACACTGTTATGGTTGGTTAAGTATGCTGTGAGATAACTATGCTAATGATTTCACTTCACAGTATTTGTTTAAATCACATCATTCAGTTTTTGTAAAGAATTGTATTCTAGTAACATCTTTGTTATGTGACACTTTATGCTGTACACTGACAAGAAGTTGTTTCAAAGGCAGATGCAGAAGAATTTGGAGCTAATTTGAAGCTATTATAGAAGTTTTTTGTAGTTTGTATACACTATGATGTGAAATCAGTCATAACATACAAAGAGAGAAAAAGAAGATGGAAAAACAGTAGATATTTGACCAGTTACTTAAATTTGGTCAGTTTTTCTTGCAAACATACAGATGATCATGTCTGGGCATAGCTCATAAATACTCACTGGCAGGCAGGGAGAAAGCAATGTTCAAGAGAGCTTTTCAAAAGAGGGATACGTTTAGTTGTTTTTGAGATCCTCAGACAAATCATGGCTCATAAAATGCAGGAATCTGCTGGCTCAAGACTGACTGTAAGTGTGTGTGTTAATGCCGCTTCCACATGATATCAGAAAAGTCACCTACAGTACATAAAAAATCAGTGTGTCATCCACTCCTGCCTGTTGCCAAACTGTTCACAGAAGCAAATCATTGTCACTCTGAAGCTGCTTGAAACCAATAAATGATCACGTCTGTCACTCACCAATGGCAAACCATATTAAAAAACCAACAAAACAAATGTATCACAATGACCACCACACAGCACTAGTTTCACTCACCCATCCCTGTTTTCATCTTCATCTGCATTGGAGAGGAGCTGTGAGCCAGCCAGAGAGAGGTCCAGAGCAGCGAGGGGCAGATCTCTGTAGCCAAAACTCACCAGCTGGACTGGAGGAGCCAAGCACTGGTTCTCATCCTCCACTGGCTGGGAGATGATCTCCAAGTCTGACAGACCTGCCTGCTCCACTTCCCTAGTTACATGCCAACACCAGCAACAGACAAACAAAAGACACACACACATGCAAACACAGAGAGAGACAAGACAGAGAAAGGCATACATTACTTGGAAAAAATAATACATTTCTCAAATGCCTGCAGAAATATTACAGCACACAGTAACATGAATGAATAAGTAGATGCCATGTGCCATTGTTTTTCTTGTTTTTTTTATCTTTTTTGTGGCTTTTTCCTTAATTAGACAGGACAGCTAAAGATAGACAGGAAAGGGGATGGAAAGAGAGGGGATGACACGCAGCAAAGGGCCACAAGTCAGATTCAAACCCATGGCCTCTGCAGCAAGAACTCAGTCTTTATACATGGGGCGCCACAAGTAGATGCCATGTCTGACTTTGAGAAAGAAAGATGCTACACTAGTGTCATTTTCTAGTTAAATGAGTCTTAAAAAGCTTAACTTCTATCCCTATTTCACATTTCAGTTAAATATTTAAATAGTTTAAAGATCAAAAACCACAACATAATGACATTCATCAATTACCATAAAAGTATCAGATGCAGCCTAGATATCAGAGCAGAAGAAAAGGACAGAAGGGGTTTTGTTGAAGAAGCATATATGTATGAGCACAAAGGCAGTGGATAAAAAAGACTAATTATTCAGCCCAGCAACTTCACTAAGAACACATTCTTATTTACAGTGACAGCCCCGGGGAGTAAAAGCAGGGTCAGAGAGGGTTACACACAAACACTCACTCAAGCATCAGGGAGCTACTGAGCGCTCACACAATTCTCCACTGCTGAGTACCGAAAGAGCTGCAGGTACAGTGCCTTGCTCAAAGACAGTGATTACTGGGGGTAGAGTGTGTGTTGCTGTGACTGTCCATGCTGTGACACTGGATATTTGAGCCATTGTCATCCAATAGTAAACAAGCTGACAACATGACACAAACAATACAGACAGAAAAGAAGAGTGCTGAAAGGAAGAGGACAAGAAACTATATGAGGACATTACTAAGAGGGGGATGCTACCTGACATGTATTCATTCTACAGTTTACATTGGAGACAATGTTGTAATGTAATGTAAAGATTACTGAAGTAAACAATTCTAAAAGGTTTCTTTATGGTAGCTTGTCACTGCTGGATACTGCACAATGATCTGTTTATAATAAATATGTGCTATCTTTATAATACTGCTCAAATTTTTTAAATGCCACACCAGTATTATATTGTTTGTAATATGTATTTGTCATTATATATATACATATATATAATATTATAAATATTTGACTATCTGTCCAAGTTGTGCAGCAGCTATAGCTAATAGCTAGCTATAAAGTAGGGTTATTTATTAATAGTAGAAATATATATGAATATTATATTGTAATTAAAGTAAATGTTTCTTTAAAACTGATATCATGTACTAAATGTACAAGAATGTTGGTGAGTGGTAATGCGAATCACAGTTGAGATGTGGTCCATCCATACTAAATAGTGTATATACCTGACAAAAGTATCACATAGAAAATGCATTTGAGTAATTTTTGACTCTCTTGAACCTGGATGGTTTAATAAACAACACCTACATTTTGGTTAAAGAGTAAAATTAAAAAAGATGTCAACAGAGGTATGTCTAGAATAGTGATCGACCAATATGGGTTTTTCAATATGCTGATGGTGATATTTACAGAGCAGGCCTGATGATGGCCGATATATAATGGTGATATAAAAACAAAGAAAAGTCATGTGTAATTTTATTCTATTCTTCTCGACAGGAAATTCAGGCATGTGTTAACTCACAAAGGGGGGCACTAACATCGATCCACAGCAGCCATACTGACGAGGCTGCCTGCAGATGTGTCTGAAGGCATTTTTTGTTTATCGGCCTTGTGAGCACAGACATCAGCCGATGCCAGTTATCTCAAAATGCCAGATAATCGGCCTCATTAATCGGCCAACCGATCATTGATCTATCACTTGTCTAGAACAATATGTTTGAGGAATACCTGAAATATGAATTGCCGAAATCTAATTTATTTTTACCCATCTAAGACTAAATTGATTTAGTTATTACAGTAAATGAAGTTCTAGTTTAGTTTTTACCTTGAACAGTTTTTCAAGGCATGTAGGCACCACACTTATTAATATATTTATATTAATATAATATTTTATTTATTTATTAGACAGTTAGATCAGCGTTTAAATTTATTCACAAATGACAGGGTGAATGTTAACCTAATAACTACATCCACCTTCCTTTGTGTTCATATCAGCAAACCTCTGCCCTACACTCGTATCCACCTTGAAGTCTTTAAACCGTAATATCTAAACACATCAAGGCTGCTCAGTTGTAGGCCAGCAGCATGTAACCCAGCGTGCCCACAAGCCCCAGTTGTGTAAAAGCTGGGCCATCTCAGTAGAGCGTGGAGGTGGAAACAAATGCTGAGTGCAGCTGCAGACTGACTGTGTGTGCCCTGTGGTGTGTATTTTTAGACCAGAGCAGATGCTGGTGTATCATGTCTGCTGTGACGTCATCGCCTCTCCCTTTGTCAGCTGAGTGGATCCCCACTCTCCTCCAAACGTCAAAGGAAGTCAAGAAAGAGGTGAATGGGGAGGGGAAACTGGAAAAGGGGGATGGATATCAGGGGTTTTACAAGAAGTACAGGGGACAGACATAAAGAAAAACAGAGCTATGGACAATAAAAGACGATGGATTTTTTAAAATGTACAAGAGAGACTGGGCTGAAAACAGAAAGAGGCGCAAGGAAAGACACAGGGAGGGAAAGAGGGGCACAAACGTTCAGGAGGAGGGCTGGAAACGAGAAGAGGAGGTTATACATAAAAGTAAGAGAGAAAATAAAAAGGTAAGTAGAGAAAAAATGGTAAGGGAAGAGAGGGAGGGAGGGCAAAGTGATAAAGAAGGAGATGTGATAAGATGATGAGAAACATGAAACAAGGTGGTAAAAGAGAAGAGAAGATGCCTCCATATTCTCATAGATTAAAATTTAAATTCCAATTTAGCAAAAAAAAAACATATGATGAACTGACAGTAAAAATCATAAACTCTCTTTAACTCATTGCGTAGGCCCTCATAATAAAGGGAAAACTAGTGATTGTAATAATGGCTGTCTGTAGAGAGAATACAAAGGGTTTTCCCAGCAGCCATTTACTGATACACTTTTTCCACTTTGTGTTTCTGAATTCTTCACTTTCTCTCCTTCTTTCTCCTACGTCATCCTCAAACTAGCATGACAGACAGCACTGAGTGACCTGAAACATTCAGAAGAGAAACACGCAATCTGAAAGACAGGCCTACCTTTAGGAAAGGACAGACAGGTAAACAGACAGGACAGGACGGGACAGATAGATATGCAGGCAGATAACAGATAACTCATCCTAACACACACACCATGACCCTATACCGCGGCACAGCCACAGTTTATTAAAATATACAATGATAATGTCAGTTAAAGGACCTTTGATGCAATCTGAGTGACCTGAGCTGTTGGAGGGCATCCTGTTCTCTGCGAGTGACTGTAGGGTGTGTTTATGGGTGTGTGTGTGTGTGTGTTTGGCAGGGAATCATGGGGTATGGGTAATAGGAATCATGATGACGTCAACAAAGGCTGATCTGATCTAAACTCTGACTCTGTGACCACAGCACCGGAAAGTAAGGATTTAACCAGCCAAATTCAAATTTCCTATGGAAAGACTAAGCTCATTTGTTTAGGGACAGCATTTTCAAGGTGTAATCGGACAGGATTCGGTAGGTGAAATTTTCACTTCATCATCATTAACCTATATTGTTGTCCTTGTTTGGTCTAACATCACCTTCAGACAGCTTACACATTAAAACTGTTACCAGGAGAATTTCAAACATAATGAATTTGCGGCCCTTGCATCGTGAAGGCCACTGATTTTACACACTGAAGTCTGTTTACAGGGCTTGTCGTGGCTCCAAAGGGAACTGCAAGAGTCTTAAAATAAACTGAGACAATAAATTGCCTAAAGTGAGTTCACTTGAGTCAGAATCGGTTGGGTCTAGACTAAGTTGGAAAATGAAAAAACTCTGGGGGTGTGGAGTTAGAGAGAAGTCAGCTTACCAGACCTCCACTCCTCCTCTCTGCTTGAGGGTAGCAGCTTGAGGGTACATTAGGTGTTAATACCATAAAACACCAGAACCTCCAACCAAACTGTTGGTGGTCGAGTTGCATTGTGGATACTGTAAGCATGTTTTAACCAGGAAGAAGCACGGGTGGAATAAAAAAAGATAATAATTTCATCAATAAGATATCAATTCTGAAATGAAAAAAAGATTGAACTGATGCATCAGAATTGTTTCTGCTGCATTAATTCAATCTTTTTTCTAAACTGTCAATTGTGAGTCTGACAGTGTTAAATGAGTGCAATGCTAATTTGTGAAGTATTATTTAATTGGAGTTTAAGAGCAGTTCTATAAAGCTTAATCAAGAATCCCATTTTTCCTACCGAAAGGCAAAAAACAAATCAGTTGTTAAACATGTGTGTAAATGTAAATGTTTGTAATTTCATTAAATTAAGAAGGCTATGTAGAGCTCCAAAAGACATCACACAAAACAAATCCAGCACTATCTTGCTATGGTGACACATTAACTAGCAGTAAAGTTATTTATAAAATCAACCACGATATACTGTACCTATTACCTGGACCAACAGCAAAACAGAGCAGTCTCAAGCCATTAAACCCAACGAGTGAACAAGTAAAGTTTGTGAGCAGAACACCAATAGAGCATGAATACAAGAAAAAAGGCACCGGCTGTAGTACTGAACACAATGACCAAATTAATGAGTCACAGCCATTGTAAGTTTCAGGTGAGTAACACCATGTGCCCGTTGGCTGCGAAGAACTTTAGCTATACACACTCTCTGTCCCATGGAAATTCTGCAAACCTCCTGTACAAAAGGGTCAGACTCATCTATTTATTTAGAATGTCTATGTTTTTTTCATGTATTGGGAAAGACCATCGGACACTACTTCTCCACATATTGCTCTCTTCT